TATCATTTACGTGATTAAATGAAATGCATTTTGTATTTGAATGTGACAAAACCGGAAACATTAACAGAGCCATTTTCTGACGTAGGATTAAGAGTGATTGTGAACATAAAAATAGCATTTGCAAAGATTTAAAATGCATTAGTTTAGTTTAGTTTCTTCAGTGTCTTGCATGGTATAGCGGGTTGGTCCTGGTATTTTTCCCTATGACTTTAGTAATCATTATTTGAATTATGTTTCAAGCTTTAACTCTCAAAACTTTTTTTTTTTTTTTTAAATTGGACATTCCTTTACCATGGAAACGGTACATTAAAACCTTGTAGCATAGCAGGCTCAATTTTTGTGATATCAACTTCAAATTTGGAACACAACTTGGTTAGACATATGATTTTGTAATATATATTCTATACAAAACAGTTTATAAATTTGCTTTCTGCTAAACCTAAACTTCTATAACTTTTTTTTTTTTTGCTTTCACTTCTGCAATAATCTGCTTAGTGTCTGCTTTAACCTTATGTCTGTATTTCTAAGCATTCATGAATTACAACCATTTAAATTCAGATATCCTCAAAAACGGGGGTGACAGTTAACAGGTTAGATTTCTTTAATACGTTTTCCTTTAAATAAAAAGAGAGAGAAAAAAATGTGTCCCCTGTTCAAGACATTGTTTTGGCCTTGCTCATCATGTTTTGTTGCTCCAAGTGTAAGATTTTGCACTGTATCTGTATAAATACCAAAATATGTTCCCCTCACTAAAATAACTTGAAGAGTAACAAAGCATATTTCTATGATATAATCTTGCATGGTAAGTAAATGATGTTATAAGGCAGTGTAAAATCCAGGACTTCATAAATGAGTATTGTAGCACTGATATGATACTTTTGTCACCAAAGTTGTGGGATGACTTGTGCTTTGGTCATGCTTACAGCACCTGGTGATCATGTGGGCTGGGATGTGTTTGGGCATGTGGTGCTTACAAAGACAACAGCAGCTCATCTCCCCCTTACAGCAGATGAATCATTTATGACTCATTCTGACTCATATCAAGGGTGTCTGTCTACCACCCTCTACTGGAGGTAATGAGAACCAGCATATGGGCTGATAACAAATGAAGTTGATAACATCAACATATGATGCTGTTCTCTCTCTCACCTTCTCATACATACAAAAATACAGCATGATGTGGACCGTCTTGAAAGGTGAATGCATGAAACATGGGAAAGTGGTGCCATCTAGTGGAAAAACTGTCCTGTGGTGCAACTCTGCAAACTAGGGCATTATTTGAATTATACATGAGAATGGTTTTCATGTGAGCATGTTTCAAGGACATTAATAGTTTCAGCTGTGCCGAATAATTTCACTGGAAAGCAGTTACTGTACAGATAAAGATTAAGCATTCCCGTTTATGTGGAATTCTTCCTGAAGGCTGGCGTATCATTTCACCATTCACATGCTTTCCCAGCAGCCCCCATTTATCACCCTGCCTGGATGTTCACTCAGCTTCCTGTTTCCCGGCAACAAGCATCTCAGTTCTGAGCCTCCACCTCTCTGCCTCCAGGAATGTTTCTTCTTTTTTCCTCCAACACAGAGCATATTACATAATGAAATGCTGATTTACTCATTTACTCATTATGCATTGCTGCTTGCCTTACTACCAGGACTTTTATTGGATCATGTCAATAGATTAAAGGGATAGTTCCCATAAATGAAAATGTTGTCATTACTCACCCGCCTCAAGTTGTTCCAAATCTGTATGAGTTACTTTCTTCTGTTAAACACAAAAGAAGATCATTTTAAAGAATGTTGGTAGTTGACGGCACCCATTGACTTCAACTGTGCCGTCAACTGTCTGGTTACCAACATTCTTTAAAAAATCTTTTTTTATGTTCAACAGAAGAAAGAAACTCGTACAGGTTTGGAACAACTTGAGGATGAGTAAAGTGATGACAAAACTTTCTTTTTTTGGGTGAACTATCCTTTTAAGACATTTAACAGTTCAGTCTATATGGAGAAAATTGGAAAAAAAGAAAAGAATATCAACAAAATCCTAAATGCATGAAATGTATAACATGGTGTGGAAAGTATGTCCTGCATAATATGTAGCCTATGTATGGGCACATGAAAAAATATATGTAATGCATATTTACAAAGCCTAAAAGGGTTCTGCTTAATTGTATATAATGGGATAATAGAAACGTTTTTGATTGCTTTCACAGGAATAGCCAACAATTAAAAGTAGAAATGGAAATGCATGGGTGCAGTGTGTCGTAAATAATGAATATCAACCTCCATGGGGCACAGATCCACGAGATCACGTCGGAAGTGTATAGGCTATAATATAGCCTAAAAAGGACGACAATCTGTGTTTTGAGAAAATCTCTTTTGATAGTCCCTCGTATCGAGCGCTTAAGGAATGCAACTGTATTTGTCAGTTTAATTATACATTTGATAACTAATCTACTTATTTTTCTCTTGAAATCAATATCTTAAAATTGAATGTAAAATACATAGTGTTCCTTATTAATGCAGGCCTACGTCTGCTTGTAAACGTTACAGAAATGCATCAAGTCATTTTCAGTCACGCATTTAATGTAATATTTCTGCTACTATCAGTACGTTTCGCACTCACAAGTGCATGAGTTGTTTTTCTACTATCACGATACTGGTAATTACACTAAAATGAGTCAATAGCTGAAAATGACGTCTATAATGGATCGTGCACGCCTTATTCTCATGTGCTAAGTTGTATTAACCAGCAGATGTCGCTGCAGTAATATTTGTTGGTATATTCTTTTCACGCCATGTATTCCATAACACTTTTCCAGTTGTTAGATCTAGTCTGCAGTTTTAGTGTTACAGTTAAACAAACGCTATGACACACGTTTCACTTAAATGCCTTTAAAAGGCCGTTTGATCATGCTTAATGCCTACCTTTGCACTATTTCCATGCTTGGTAAATGCTGCAGTCAGCCATAGAAAACAAAATCATTAAAAAGCTCATCAATGAAAAAAGAACTGTGCTATAGCTATTTTAAAAAATTGAATTGTCTTTATAGGTTTTCTTACAAGCATGCCCTTGAATTACCAAAACTACAAAATATAATATATTTTTTTTTTCTCTCTTTTTATATCTTTTTTATCTCTTTGTATATGTATCCGTTTTATTTTATGTATGTTGCATGTTATGTCTGTGCCTTCTGAATGGACCAAGAGTCTGGAAATAAAAGTTGATGATGATGATAATAACAAAATGCCTGTATTATCATCATATTTCAGTCATGACAACTCTCAGGAAAGTTTTTAAAACATTTTATTAATGTAGCCTAAATAGAATGTAGGTTTTGTCTTGGTGGACTAGATCTACGCTACTGCTGCTGCTGATGGAGCTATGGTTGCTGCTACTGCAAGTACCACTTGCTTCTGCTAAATGCTCGAACCATAAAATTAAAAGAAACATGCTGCTAGAGAGAGGTAGACCCCCGTATAGGTGATCTAGGCAGGTGGTGCTGGGGAGATGGAGGGCTAGAATGATAATTTGCATAGCGTGCAAAGATGTGCATTCGTTTGGATGATTTGTTGTCATATAAGGAAATAGTAATGGATACGTGAAATCCATTGACTGGGAACATTACATTGAACAAACCAATCAGAATGCTTATAGAGTTTCATGGCTGAACTATTCGTGTATTATTATGTATTATTATTATTATCAGTCAAATGCATGAGACATTAAGTACTTTTGGGTGTTTCATTTATTGACCATAGTACAGAAATAAAGCAGCACTCATCAACAGAACACAACAGGTAATGAGCAGTGTAAATAAATAAATAATGCATGGCATAAAAATGGCAACAGAAATAAACACTGTAACACTGACTATTTATTAATCGCTGTAAGGTTTGTTGTGTGCATGCTGTTGATTACATTATCTAAATGGTCTGTTTATAAATATTTTTTTTCCCCTCAGCAGTTTATTAAAGTGCTAAATCTAACAATCTTGCTTGTTAGATAGTGTTATACACCGTTGCTTAAATCTTTTTCAAATTTTATATTTTTTATATTGAAATATTACATTTCTAATATAGGCATCTAGGTTTTGTCAGTCATTATAAATAATTAAAATATGAATAGCATATTTTATATACATGTTTATATTTTTCACACATCAATATTTCAATGGATGTTTCAATATAAACATCATGATTTCAGAACTTTACAATACCATGAAAAATTAAAAACAGAATATGATTAATAATCTTTCGTGTCAGATGAATAAATTAGCAAGTAATCTTATTTTTATATAATGGAAATGTGGATAACTCAAAGACAAATGTTTTCCTGTCATGTAAAGTTAGAGGTTGTTAACAATTTCAGCTGAATTAACCATGTGAATAAATATAGTATTCCATAAATACAATACAGAAAGCAGTTGCCATGTACAATACAGTAAAATCTTTCAAGCAGTTTATTTGACTGTCTGCCATACTGATCATTATCTGTGAATGTAATTTATTTTAAAGAAATTACAAATCATCACAAAATTTAAAGTGAATTTGCATTTTTCTTGCCAGCATGCAGTCTCCATGCAAGTGCATTTTTATCCTCTCAAGGGCCTAAAGACATTGACTTTCAAAAACTATTGTATTGCAAGAGAAAAAATAGAGACTTTCACCATAGGTTCTCCAATGGAATCCTAGTTGTTATATCCTCACTGCAACATACTAGCACAAGAAATACAGTCATAAGCAGTCCCAAGCATAATCCACAAAAAGTTCAACAATTTCCACAGAATTGGAACACCTGTCATTCACAAAGTTCTGAACATCCCCCCACCCCTTGTGTGTTTAATAAATATTTTGGCTAATTTGAGCTTTGCCTATAAGAGTACACAAAGCTCAATTTGACAGATTTAAATCCATTTTGCAGAATGAGTTTGCCCCAAATATCAGCTCAGAAAATGCAAAAAAAAAAGCCTTCTGATTCTGTTTGGGCCAATGAAATATATAGTAGTTAAGACAAAACATATATGCTCATATATCTTCTAATAAATACTGTACATAGCTTTTTATCCCATTAGCAACTCGTATTAATTCTATTAATTTTTAGTGCCATACAGAAACAGTAAATATAGTCTCCCTATTAAAATACATATCTAAAACATTAGTCATTTAAGTCTTATTTTATACAGTAAAAGCTTGATAATGCTGGATGCATAGGATTATATAATGTCATCTAGAAGGTGTGGTGCACCAACCCAATCAAGCATCCTTGGTTCAGACGCTGCCATGATCATACACATAAACTGCTTTCCGGTTCTCTTATCAATGGGATAAATTGTGGTGGGGGTGAACCTTTTGTTGCTCTCCACAAACTCACAAAGCTGGTTGTATATTTGTGGGAACTCGTGACGAAGGAATACACCTCTTGTACGAAGCTCCCTTTGGATGTTAATGAAACAAATCTCTCTTGCTTTCCTGCCCTCTTGGCCATCCTTGTCGATGTCAGATGTCCCAGGAGGAGGGGTGAGAATCAGAGTCTCCATTTCACATTCTTTCTTAAAGATTTTCTTATCTGGGCTTGAGGAGGCCAATGAGACCTTGGCATATTTGCGAACTGTTGGCGTTTGTAATTTGGGTGAAGGAAGTTTAGGCACTAGGTCTCCAACAGCAATGGATACATTCAGGAGGAAACATTCAGCGGGGTCATACTCCTTGCCTGCATTCTGCAATTCTTTGCAGTATTGCCCAAGGTTGTCTTTGAAACTGTCTAACTCTCGAAGGGACAGATATGTTGGAGAAATGGTAAGGCTGTCAAGACCAACTTGAAGAAAGTTATCTGCACACCCGGGGTTTGGAAAACCCAGGAACAGAACTCCTCTCCCGCGGGAAAGAAACCCTACCCTAGCAATGCGCGAAAAAGCCTTATGAATGTCAGAGTTCTCTCGACAGTGCTTTAGTATGTGCCTGCAAACACTACTAATGCGGCCATAAAGGCAGCTCTCTTTATGCGTGTCCCAGTCTTCTCGCCTACAGTTTCTGGAACAGTAGTAGGTATAACAGCTGTGACAGGACTTGAAGTACAAGCAAGCATTGAATGTAGTGTCTTTGCGTAAGCATTTCCTGTTGGAGCACACCATAGTGTCATCCTCGACTGCAATGGGGTTCAAAGAGATGTCCTCAACACTCCGCTGAAAACCCTCACAACCACTGTCTGGGTCTTTAAATGTGTCTGGGCTGGTCTTTGAAGAGTCTGATAGTGTGTTCAAAAGTCCTGAATCCTCTTGATCCATGTCCCTCTTCCCTTCTTTAGTCTCGTCATCTTGAATCAATTGTTTGAGTTGGTCTATCAGATCCTTGCTTGGTCTCCTGCTATTTAGAGGTTTGTAATCAATGACTAGGTCGGCTAGCAGCTCATCAAGCTGTTCGAGGCTTTGCTGCAGGGAGTAATTATTGTTCTTCCTCTCTGTGGATTCTGGTGGGTTTGCTGGTCTCTGTAAATTATGCAAGTTTGCAGTTTGACACCGGGCTGTATTTTGGGTATTCCAGCTGATTGTTCCCCCATCTCTCTTGTTGCTATTTGCTGCACGGATGTCATTGTCAGTTATTGTAATTTCTGGGGTTACATACCATTGTCCCCTCGCACTGTTTTGTCTGTCACCAGCACACTTTTCTAGACAGTTTTCGGAGAGTGACAAGGCAGCGTAACGTCTCGGCGAACTAGAAAGGTTTACAATAACCGGTTGTTGGTTATTATTCGAAGGAACTCCTGGTCTTCCGTGATGGAGAAGGTTCTCGTAACTCCTGCCTCGTGAAACACCATGTTCTCGGTCCATATGAGGGATGAGAATGTTGTCCCAGGATTTTGAGTAGTTTCGGACATCTGCTCCTAAACGAGTTGGCTCTGTAAAGTCATTGGGATACCATGGGCTTATCGATGGCACTCGCTGAGGAGTGGCCTGTGAGGATGCATACTGACTGGAATATGTAGCAATGCTTGACCGGTGCCAGTCATCTGAAAAGACCTGGGACATACGTGGCCGCCGCCGTCCCTCCGTATGATATGCTCTCATAGGATTGTTTATTTCTGCTGGGTAATGGCAAGGCCGTGTATAGAACATCTTTGAGGGGTCAGAGGGAACAGCATATGCTCTTGGATCCTCCTGAAAGTATGTTTCACTCTGAGGAGTAGATATGAAGTATGGCCCTGGCTCACTCACTGAATATGGTCTACCATAAAATGGATCCAAGGGTTCACGATGGGAATCTGCATAGTACGAACGCACAGGCAAAGTATGAACCCAACGAGTCCTTGGGTCAAGTACATATTGACTAGTGACGGAGGGATTTTGGCTGTTGCTGCTGTTAATACTGTACTGGTCATCCTGATAATATGTCCTACTCTGTGGTTGAACTGGATACCTGCAGGGATCGTCCGTGTAGAAGAACTTGGTTGGGATGTTAGGATTAGACAAGGTCCTGTGCTCCCTTGGGTCTCTAGGAGAAGTCCTTCTGAAAGGGATCTCCCCAGACTGAATGTAACTACCGGACAAGCTGTTGGGATATTGATATGCTTGCCTATATTCCATGTTGTAACACTCACTAGGAGTAGGCGTTCTAGAGGTGGATGTCTGACTTGGAAAAGAGACGTTCCTGATCCCTGATGTTGAGGAAAGCTGCCAGGGAACATTACTTCTGTGAGTAGGCATCTTCCGTGCAGTGTGCTGGAGAACTGAGGCATCTGGCTTAATATCAACACGGCACCTTACATGGGGAGTGTTAGTTTGTGTCTCCTGTCTACTCTCCTCAAAACAATCAGAAACATAGAGGGGTGTGTGGGGTTGTAACTTGATTGGATGAACTTCGTTAACTAAAGCCCTGTTTGAATGAGAGGCTTCTCGATTTGGCAAACCTTCAGATCTCTTCTGGGGGTCCACTGGAGATCGACGCCTCATGGTTGCAGGTGGAGAGACAGTGATGGGTACAGGGGTCAGGGTGGCTCGAACCCTGGGAGCACTTTTTGAGCGAGGCTTACCATGAACGCTAGTCCTTGCTGCCTCATTGTTTTTGTCTGTGCTGATTTGTTGTTGGGAGAGTCTTGAGTTGAATAGATCTGGTGAGGAAAAACGTAAGTGTCCCTGCTGTCCAATGCCATTCCAGACTGCATCCTTACTTACTGTTTGCTGATCAGACCTGTAAGGATACTCCATGGATGAGGAAAAGTCCTTTGGGTCATCCAGTGACTCAATGAAGTCAAAGCTACGGCAATGTCTTTTGTTAATGGTTTCAAAATTTTGATCCAGTGGGCCAACCATTTGGCAATCACATTGCTTAGAAGATTCAGAGTACTTTGAGAGCCCAGAGTTAGGGCCAATTTTTATGTCTTGATACAAAGAGGATGTTAATATGTCAGGGGGATCCGTACGTGTCATCTTAAATGCGCCCCCGATATTTCCCCCCTCAGTTGGTGTCTCCTAAAGAGAATCAAAAACAGCCTTATTAGATACACATTTTCTTTAAATCAACCACTTGCATATCTGAATAGTATGGATAAAGGATCCCATTTAAAGTCAGCTCTCTGAAAACGACCCACTTATGCTTAGAAAAGAACATAATGCATTTAAGAGAAGATGAAAGAGAGAATTTCATGACTTATCATTGTATTTGCAAAATACTTCGAAAGGCAATCATTCACAAATGATCTTGCTTCACAACGCATACACTGGATCACTGTTAGGGCTGCACGATTAATCGAATTTTAATCACGATCACGATTTTGGCTTCCCACGATCAAATTCGCGTGATCGAGCGATATTTTAAATGCGTCATTCAGTTCACAGAAAGCTTTTTTTTTTGCCAATCTAGCGCACCGTAAACCAGTGTCTGATCACGTGCCTCCATGAGCCCAGGTGCGCGAGAGAGACCTACGGTCTGCGTGCGAGCGACAGTGCACGAGAGAGACCGCGAGTGTGTCTGCGTGCGAGCAACAGCGCGCGCCTACCGATTGTGTCGCGCGCGAGAGAGACTGAGTGACAGTGCGCGTGAGAGACCGAGTGTGAGCATTAGTAAATTGCATTAGTAAATTGGTACATACTACATATATATATTTACTATTTATACCATGGTCTGGGTGAATACTCGATTCTGATTGGCTGCAAGGTGTCCGTTAAAAAGTGATAGAGGACACCTAAAGTAGTTCTGGTGAAACTGCCTGTTTACCATTCGAAATTAATAAATAAATGCGCTGCCTACAACAGCTGTGTGAGTAACCATAGCAACAGGCAGTCAACGTTAGTTAGATATTACATAGCCTACTACAATGAGCGACTTCGTTCGTTATTTCATCTTCAGTCTCTCACGGACTGACGGAGCCCAGTAAGCCCGCAGACTGCTCTCGCATCGATGGCCTGTCACCGACTTTATTTGACGGCTCTCCAGTCCAGCATCGGAGAGTCGACCTACAGCGGTGCTTCGGAGGCTGTGGTTAGTGTAGACTAGTGTAACACAAAGTGTTTTATGTGCAATAAAAAAATAACTATGCCTACCTTTGTGTTTCATGAAAAAAAAAATGCATTTTTGAACCTGAAGGGTTCTACAAGCTGAGCGGACTATAAATATCTCAAGTTGCTAAATAAATCGTCAGGCAAGTTATTATTTGAAAAAAATAGATTTAGCCTAATTAAAATATAAACTAATGTTTTAAAAATGTTTTATTTGGCAAGTGACCATGGTATAAGCGGGTTAATGCCCTTCGAGGTGACCGTTGTCAGGTTTTAATGGACTTCGGCGGAGGCAACCGTCCTCCGCTGCGCGTCGGCCGGTTTACACCTCGCCGTCGTCCATTAAAACCTGACAACGGACACCTCGTCGGGCATTAACCCTTACATAAGAGGCATGGAAGTTCGATTAATGGACTCCAATAATCAGTCCTACAAACGTCTTGTTTTGACCTATTGTTTAACAAATAGAAATAATTTGAGCACATAAACTTTCACATGGAGAATTAAATAGATTAAATTTATGCAGTAAGACTTCACAACTAATCACTGACACTGTAGGCCTACCACAACATTTTACATTTATTAAGCGTCAAATAACAATGACTCTGAATTTCATCCATTAATCGAACTTCCATAGTGCAGTTCTGCCTTGAAATGTTCTCATTTGGTTACATTCTGTTATGGAATATTTGTTTTTTTATTGATTGTATATTTTGCGTGTTTTATTCACATCCATTATGCAGGTACAATGCAAGTTTATATTTTGCTTCCTAAAATAGATTTACACAATGTAAAATGTAAAATAGTGCCCTGTTGAAGTTTTGCTACATTTTCTTTATTGTTTTCTTTATTCTTTAAGGAGATGCACTGAATTTTGGTGAATAAGAGGACCTATTTTATTTAGATACACATACATTAGCAGAAATGTAGCACAATATGGATGTGAAAGCAGTTATAATTAGCCTATGTGAAATTTGTTTTGGTTAAAATCAACAAATAATCGTGATAATTAATCGTGATCGCAATATTGATCAAAATAATCGTGATTATCATTTTGGCCCAAATCGTGCAGCCCTAATCACTGTTATGTACTACTATGTATACACATGGTCAGTTATAGGCATCATTCACATGGCTGCCAAATTTAAAGTAAAAAGGCATTTTGCTTAATATGATCACTACAGAAGTTTAGAGTTTAGCTTATTTTGTTACAATGCCATGTCATGCATAAACAGTCTGTTCAGAGAAATTGCAGAATGCTAAACAAATAAAACACTGAATGGAAATTATAGTTATAAAAATAATTATAAAGATGGAGGCATTGCATCAGTGGATAGAACAGGATAGAACAGTCCTCTCTAAAACAACTTTATTTTTCCCCTTTCTCCTTGCTTGCTTTTTTTTTTTTACAACAACTAAATAACATATACAGTTTTACCGCATCCTACTGCAACAGCTCTACTCCTGCCTCCTGCTCATTAATAATAGTGCCACTCTGGTCTTTGGGGAAATAAAAATGAATAGAGTGAAAATAAGGTTAAAAAAGGAGAGCATATAAACTGGTAAATGTCAGATGGTAGTTTCACATAGATGGTAGATATGTTGCACATTGTTCATTTAGAATGTAGAAGATCAGTTCTGATCCCAGAATTCAGTTTCAGCTGCACCTAGAAACACACAAGGACCATGCAAGTGATGCACATGGTCTATATTTATGATTGCTCTGATTTTCGCTGTTCTTGGATTGTACTTTGCTTTCTTGAGATTATATTTTTTTGTCTTATTAAATATTTGCATCTCAAATCAAAAGGTGATTTTGATTGTGTTTGTCTACACCCTGCCTCTCTGTTTGTGACAATGATGTTGGTTGTTTTTTTCACTGAATGCTTACCAATGGTCGAATTACATCACTAGTTGAGCGCAGTTCTAGGCTTACAGTTAAGAATAACATTTTGTTTACCTACTATATATGTTATTGAATTTGGTTGCTTATTTATCCTGGGATACAGTAGAATTGGTGTGTGGCCTTTACAAAGGTTTAGGAGCCAAATCTGAGGTTACTTACAATGTTTGGCTTTTCAGGGATTTTTTTAATGACAGTAGGAGCTACGGAGCCCCACATACTGGCTACCTCCTTTCAGCCATCCCTGAAAACCATCTGTTCATCCTGCTGAGAAAGGAACGACGAGCAGTCTAAACACACACACACACACTCACACCTTCACTCTTTTCACTGGATGAATCTAGAACAGACCTAGAATTTCAGCTTTGCAACATATTTTGTGTATGCACTTTTTGCACTAACAATACTAAACCAAAGCACAGTATCATGAAAATGTTTTTTTTTTATATCAAATGATATCTAGACAGTATACAAAAATAAATATCAACATAAACTGACATGAGTATTTTTGTGCATCCTAAGGGATGAACTGACTGGCACAGACAGTGTCAGTGGCAACTCGTCATAAAGAAAACCTCAGGTTGACAATGACATTACTACTTGAACATAAAGATTAATAAAACTCCACCGGGGCTCAGATCGGCTATTGTCTTACATGTCTGCTGGAAACAATTTTCGGGCACAAACACAAAATTGCGCATTAAAATGCACTAAGCACTTCATCTAAGCATGTCTCTGCAGCCCGGATGAACAGTGTCATGTGGCCGTCCGATAACCCATATTAACTACTTTGTGTCTAAAGATCTTGAATGCCATCTGGACCTCTCCAATTGTTAAAGAGAGCTGAATCACACATTTTGAAAGCTATTTATAAACAGTGTCACTCATGGTAAATGCTTACGAATCAGGTTCCTTTGCGGGCTGCCATTTTCACTGGTTCTGATTCTAGCTGACTTAGGTATAAATGTCCTCTTGGTGAGCTAATATCTGCCCACCATCTCTCATTGTCCTTCTCCTTTTGCTCTTAACATTGTAGGTCACAAAAGGATGGAGAAGTAACATAAAAGCTGAGAAAATCTGCTGTTCATGCTAATTAGGTTCACATATCATATATAATTAAATAAAATATTACTGCATCACCCCCCGTTGACCCACCTCTGTGTACAGTATTAGATTACACTGAATCACAGAGAATAAAAAAACATTTTCCTTTGGTCAGCTAACCAGCATTTAGCATTAATTTAGAAGGACGCAATTATTTAAAAGTAAAGTTCCACAAATAGAAATACAGTGAGGACAAAAAAATAGAGCATGCATGAGAGAGAGTTTTGAGGGCATTGTCATTTTTCTTTTGGAATAAAACATTAAAAAGCAAAAACATCCATCTTGGGCAAAGTAGATGTTAATAATTCCCTTCTTCCCTTTATGCAAGGTGGCTGATCAGCAGGCATTTTCACGGCTTGTGACTAAGACCTGACTGCCATCACCACCTGTCTCTAACACTTCCATCACAGTCTACCAAGACAGCTTCCTTTCACTTCATTCATTCTTGAAAACAACCACGTTTAGAAAGTACAAATTATGTATACGTACATTTGCAGGAGAGGGCATGCGAGCTCACCAGGATTTCTAAATAAACTGGTCATAAAATATGACGATCGTCAGCTAAGTCACAAATGAATCAGATCTGGAGTGAATCAGTCGTGATCTTGGATTCACTGAACGAGTCAGTTACAGACATTGTGAGTAATGAAAAATTCCTTTAAGCTACAGTCTGACTCCAAGAAACCATGACAGCAGAAAGTGTTAGCAGGAGCAGTTAATCTCACATGAGGCCTATCTCCTTAAATACACAACCCATTCCTCAAATGAGCTTGCAGAGTAGGTTTTTTTGGCCGGATATGAGGCAAGGAGGCTATATTTGGACACAATGGATAATGGGAAAGATGCATCTGAGTATCTCAGTGAAAGCAACCCAGCTGGATGATTCTGTAGAGACTGTGGATTTGGAGGCGAATTTTCTTTTCTTTTCCAACAAGAAAGCTCAAAGAAATTTTTGTGGAACTGAAAGTCCAAACGATTATACCTACCTATGAATCACAAATGTCTTAATTTTTTAGTTTAAGATCATGAGATAATCAATTGGAAACTTCAGTTTCTCTGTTTTCTCAGCTTTTCTTTTCAACTGCAAACATAATGTCTTTATTCAGCACATTTATGGTCCTCTTAAATAGCCCATTTATTTTCCTCTTCAATCGAACTACAAAACTAGATCCCTGCTATTACAATCAAAGCTGCATTGCATTTTTGCCACTGGCTAATTCAGTAGTTTATGAGAACAAATTATAGATAAAACATGAAAAATTAAATATTACAGCTTTTTTAATATTATGATGTGTATCACCACCTGGGGGCACTCCACCATTTAATATCTCATAGGATAATGGATTTAGACAAACGCATTGCTAACAATTACACTTACTACACTTACTTAAGTTAAATCAATAAGAACAACAGCACAATCCACTCAGCCCTTGAGGGGGTGATTGTCCTTAACATTTCATTATTAAGGCACTCATGCATTCTGTTGTCAGAAATTATACTGTCTAAAACTTGATGGGAAAACATTTTTTTTTTAACTCTAGCCTCTAGTTTGGATATTTGGATTGCAGAAAAGTGGTCCAAGTGGTACAATAATATTGCACAATAATTTTTTCATCATGTTTTCTCCAAGCCATTGCATTTATTCAGAACAACAGGTGCGACATACCATATTAAGACTGCTGCAGTGTATAAACTCTTTTAATGGGTTTCAGCATTTATGGTCTGTTAAAAATAAATATAGGCGAGCAAGAAAAAAGATACGCAAGATAAGATTTATCTCTCTCTCTAACCCTCTCTTTGATTCTACGTAGAGTATAATTTTTATAGTATTGAATTGATTATCCATTGAAACATCTATGATCATGATCGGATTTTTCGATTTTAGGTTAAAGGTACAAGGGAAAGTGTCATTTATTTTATGTTTTACCATAGCAATCACTTCTCTGCCTTCACAATTTCAATTTAATGGTATTAAAGAACAAAAAATCCATATGGCATCTCAATTGATATCAGATGATAAAAAATGTATGTTGCCTAATTATAACATTAGAAATAGTTTTAGATGAAATACTAGGTCTACATGTCAAACCTCAGGATTTGTCAACTTCCCAAAAGTATTTTATGTCAAGATTTCCTGTTAAATGTATGTTACATTTATCCACAGATAAGTATTAAACTTACTCCTACCTAAACCCTACTCCGGACAAGCACATAGCCTACTGTACCACATGCTCCGTCGCCTGGATACCTAGCAAAACCACAAAGTCCTCAATGCACAATCTACTGATTTACAAAGCAACCTGATTTACAAGGTCGCCATAAAGCGTAAAGCGTACACGCACATCCTCCCTCCTCGATCTAAGGATCGTTAATGAATCTGACGAAGCTGAATAACACGTCGTGGTTTTACAGTCCTGCTAAAGTGCAGTGCGAAAATGAAACCTTTACCCATCGCACCAAAATGTAACACACAAGCACACTTTGTTCCCATTTATTGCTGCGGCACGAGCCCCGCACTATCGAGCATCTCTCGTAAAATGACCTAACGTTAATGTCTTTAGGAGCAAAACACACCAGTGAGACGCAGAACCACTGCAACCTATCGATCTTACAAAAATAATTTCTGAAGTCATAAGTTTTGTTTTTCCAGTGTATTTCAAGCTTTTAGGAGTGTGCGCATTTATCTTACCGTCTTCATCCATAGTTAAGATCCTGAAGGTGCTGATAATCTGTGGATTTGTGTATCAGTGACTGATCTATTAGAGATTACGTAGTCTCCATATCATATTAGATGCTGTAGGGTGGGCTGCAAACTCCTTAAGTATTGTTGTTTGCCCAGTGCCCACGGGTTTCGGGGGCGTACTGAGACGAGACGAGGGGGTGTGACCGCATCCCTCATGCGTTGCGTTTCTCGTGTGAGATGCGCAGTGACTGCGCGTGCGTGCAATGTTGGGAGCGCGCTTGAACCCTTCCTGCGCGCGCGTGTGTGTGTTTGTGATGCACACGAATCTCATGCTGGATAGACATATGCGATGGCACAGCTTTAGAGACATGATTTTAATTATGAAGGTGTCATATCTTGCTGATAGGCTCCAGTAAGTATTCATTTAAAGAACAAAGGTGATTTTCTATCTATCTATCTTATCTATCTATCTATCTATCTATCTATCTATCTATCTATCTATCTATCTATCTATCTATCTATCTATCTATCTATCTATCTATCTATCTATCTATCTATCTATCTATCTATCTATCTATCTATCACTCATTCACTCACCCAGGTTAAGTATTATTGCAAGATGTGCAAATAATGATAATAATAATAATTAATTCATAATATAAAGAATGTTTAATGGAATTTTTGTTAGTTTAGAAAAAATAGGCCACAAAAAAAGTTGTGGCAGGGCTCCAATGTCAAAGTTCAAATGTGCACCTGATTTACCACTATTGAAAAATGTATTAATTTATTTGTAATATTTTTTTTACTCTGTCAAATGTTGGTGTTAAAGCTACTGTTTAATATTTTTGGAAAAAAAAATATATTTTAATGGGATAACATTGTTTTAGATGTGAAATTCATGTTTAATGAGAATGTGTGATATAAAATAAAAGAGCAAAAGTCAAGTTACCCTTTATGTATAGGCCTAATAATAATGCCTTTTATGGATGAATTTTCAGAAAATAATTATTTTATTGGGCAACCTAACCTCAGCATTTCCTGTCTTTCTAAGAATGGAACTTTATTTGCACTGTTGCTCCTGCCCCGTTTATTCAATTAGCTGAAAACGGAAGTGCACAATAGCAAAGTACTGCTTAAGGGATCAAGTGAGACCTTTATGCCATTGATTTCCACATTAGTGTGATTGGTGGCTGATGTTGTGGGCTATTTAATCAAACATGACAATAAAAAAAAAAGGCACACTGAATGAAGACACTATAGGATCATGAGTAAAATGCACATATTTGTTGTTTGAGCCATGCAAGACCAGGCTTGTTAGTCAGCTGAATAGCATTATTGTAGCAGTAAATCCTGTTACCCTCAGAGTAAAACTTTTATTGCTTTAAATTGTGTGCATCCTACAACTTTAAAGTGACTGACGGGCTTGTAATTTTGTGAACTATCTTACTGGAACATTCCTTATTGGAATTTTCTTCATGCAATGCGATGAAAAAGAGCAACAATGTTTTTGATAAGCACTATTTTCTCAGTCTGTGATTTCCATTACACGAGAGTAGATGTTAAAACTTCATGCTGATTTGTACTCGGCTTTCGCCAAGATAAGCAAAACTAAGACGTAGCTTTACAGTAAACTATGCTTCTCCATCCATTTACGCTTCTTTCCATAAGGTGGTGTGACTCCCCTTCTGTCCGGCGTTAACGGCAGCAGTGTACTTGGCGCGTTAGCGCACGCGACGGCTGCAACTACAGGACCAGCACGACAACCGTCTGGATTGAACCGAGTAGGGGACATCTCTAGGGTCTTCAAGTGGGCACCTTCCGTCCTCAGTGTTTCGTCGACTAGCCCACGACACCTCAAGAGGGCTCGACAGTGACTCTGGCGTCCCAGTGTCACCCCCCTCCGTCCCCCACTCAACTCAGCCCAGCTTACTGACCTCTACATTCCTCCTGCTGCTGAGACCTAACCACAATCTCACAATCTCTCCGCAACCTGACCATACGCGCCAACCCGTTTGACTAAGGCTGTCGAGCCCCACTGGTGCGTTAATATGCAGTTTCAGTGGACAACGGTTCCGTATGGCATACCACCTACCGCAAAACACAATATCTGCCCAACCACCCGTCATTCACGCAATATCCACAGGAACGTATACAAACAAACCAACAGACTCTACAAGTTTTCAAGAATTCTACGAAACCGTAGCGTGGCGGCCTGTACACAGCCAGCTAGAATCTTTCCGTCTCAACCACAGCCAGTTGCTGCTCCTTTCTGCTGCTTCAGATAAGTTCTTTACTGTGCGACGCAACTCTTGGCCGCTGAATCCGATGTCTCTGAGGAACCGGGTTGTAGAGTGTGCCACACAACCTCGACAACCCACTTCCACTGGGTAAACCTGGACTCTCCATCCTCGCTGTTCTGCTTCAGTGGCCAGATGAGCATACCGCAGTTTCTTCCTTTCATATGCATCGTCTACCGCATCCTCCCATGGCACTGTTAACTCTATCAGTTGAACAATGCGTGCTGATCCAGACCACAAAACAATATCTGGTCGTAGGTTAGTGGTGGCAATCTCAGGTGGAAAAATAAGCCGTTGGTCAAGATCAGCCAGCATCTTCCAGTCCCTAGCAGCTTCCAGTTGTCCTGGGCGAGAATTGGTGTTAACACCTTTTCTTGGTGGTTGCTCGCCTGGGCGGAGGAATATTGTCTTCTGCGTGTAATGTTTTGCTAGAACAGGTGGCAACTTATTGGTCATGTTACGCTTGCCTTCTAATGCTAAAGCCAAACATCGCAGTACTTGGTCATGGCGCCAAGTAAACCGACCTTGGCTAAGAGCCACCTTACATTCTGTCAAAATGTGCCTTAATGTGGCAGGTGATGAACACAAAGGACAAGAGGGATCCTCTCCTACCCAGAGGTTTAGGTTCTGCGGTGATGGGAGAACATCATATGTTGACCTAATAAGGAAACTGATCCTACTCTCTTCCATTGACCAAAGGTCTTGCCAGCCCATCTTACGTTGTTCCACACTCTCCCATCTCATCCACTCTCCCTGCTTGGCCTGGGAAATGGCCTTTATACACCTCATCCTCTCCTCCTGCTGTCGCACCTCGTTGACTACCAGCTTCCTCCTTTGAGCTGGGCCTGCCTTGTGCCATTTAGGAGGAGCTAAACTGAGCCCAAAACCCCCTCTTCCATGCTGTACCTGTCCCACGATATCCCTAATTTGAAGGGCAGCCTTTGCCTCTACTACAGATTTCTTTGCTGACCACTTTCTACCAGTTTTTAACACAGGGGCTGCCTCCCTTACACATTTGTCGCGTGACTCTACTAAGGTAATTTCCAGTCTGACCTTGGCACACTTGAACTCCTCGGTTAAAGCAGAGACTGGCAGCTGCAATATTCCTTTACTATAAAGTTCTACTCTGCTGAGGCAGCGTGGAACTCCCAACCATTTCCTGATGTATGAACTTATCAACGCTTCCAGCTTATCCACTGTTGTCAAAGAAACGTCGTACACGGTCAGTGGCCACAGCAACCTCGGCAGTAGACCAAACTGAAAGCACCAGAGTTTTAGTTTACCAGGTAGAGCACAGCAGTTTATGCTCTTCAACCCTTCTACTGCTTGTCGTCTAACTTCTCCCACCCGAACTGTGTCCTTTAGATCCCCATCGTACCATCTCCCAAGACTCTTCACTGGCTTCTCAGAAACTGTTGGTATTGCCTCACCATTAATGAAGAATGTTTTATCTACTACCTTTCCTTTAACTATCGAGATGCTCCTTGATTTAGAGGGCTTAAATTTCATTCGTGCCCATTCAATATTATCTGTTAACTTCCCCAATAACCGATTAGTGCAGGCTACTGTTGTAGTCATGGTTGTCATGTCATCCATGTATGCTCTGATTGGTGGTAGTCGCATCCCAGAAGCCAAGCGCTCTCTTCCTACTACCCATCTTGATGCCCTCATGATTACTTCCATCGCCATGGTAAAAGCCAGTGGAGAAATGGTGCATCCTGCCATTATTCCAACCTCTAGGCATTGCCATGCAGTGCTGAATTTTGAAGTTGAGAAACTGAATTGCAAATCTCCAAAATAGGCTTTCACTAAATTTGTTATTGACATTGGTACTCTGAAAAAATCAAATGCTCCCCAAAGAAGCTCATGTGGCACTGAACCATATGCATTAGCCAAATCCAGGAATGTCACATGGAGCTCCTTCCTCTCCTTTTTAGCTGACTGAATTCGTTGCCAGATAACATTGATGTGTTCTAAGCATCCTGAGAACCCTGGAATGCCCGCTCTTTGAACTGAGGTGTCAATGAAGCCATTCTTTAACAGGTAGGTGGACAATCTCTGGGCAATAATGCTGAAGAAAATCTTACCCTCAACGTTTAATAGTGAAATAGGACGAAACTGACTGATGCTTGTAGCATCTTTTTCTTTAGGTAAAAAGACTCCACCTGCTCTGCGCCATGCTCTAGGTACAACCTGCTTTTCCCATGCCACTTTTATCAATTTCCACAGAATTCACAGAACTCCTGAAGCACTCTTGTACACTCTGTACGGAACTCCATTAGGCCCTGGAGATGATGAAGCCCTTGCCTTTCTCACAGCCTGCTCTACCTCTTTCCACTTAGGTGCACAGACCTCCATTTGGTATTCTGGTGGGTTGATAGGTGGTATGTCTGATGGAATTGACATAGGCTCATGCCTTTTTGCATCTGTATGCGTGTCCTCCAAATATCTCTCTAGCTCCATCCTAGATGTTTTTAAAGTGCCATTCTTCTCACTGGTGAATAACTTCTTTACGAATTTGAATGGGTCTTTATAGAAATTAGCCCTCGCACGTTCCTTCTTTTTGTAGCGTTTCCGTAGGCGCTCAGCTCTGCGTAATGTTGCCAGCTTATCTTTTATGGCCCTTTGTAAGAGATTGAGTCCCTCCTTCTGACTTTGTTCTGCTCTTTTCCATTGCTTCCTCAGCTGTCTCCTTTCTCTAACTAACCCTTCAATTTTCTGCTGCCGTCTAGACATTCCAGGAGTAGTTTGTACTTTTTCCTTCCTTTTTTCCACACCAAACCTCTCACTTCCATATGCGTAAATGGTGTCCCCAAATTTATCCAGCTTCTTTTCAACTGTACCAGTTAATCTTTCCAATGCAAAGCATAGATCTGTGTTTACCGTGTCCCATGCAGTTTTCTCACAAGCTCTTGGCCATCTAACTCCAGGCCTATGCC